GGTATGAAGCCATGAAAGCATTGTGATGTATGTTAAACGCTTTTGTTCAATCAAATTAAATTTTGTAGTTTTTTTTGTGTCATATGTTTAATTTTTCTTTAGTGATATACCATTTCTAGGAGACCATCATCATTATTGTTGTGATAAGACACATTTGGGATCTACAAATTTGTCCAAACAAAGCTCTTATGCATTGAAATATAATAGGTCATACTTTTGCAGAATAATGTAATCAAAAGAAGATTTTATTTCATCGTTTTTGTTGGTTAGAACATTTTTTTTTTCTTTTTTGGACAAAATTGGGATGGTAATGCAGGTTCCAGGATTCCTTTAGGATTGAAAACCAAAAGCCTAAGGATTTTGGTGACAGGTGGGGCCGGTTTTGTAGGGAGCCATTTGGTGGACCGTCTTATAGCCCGTGGAGACAGTGTGATTGTGGTTGATAACTTTTTCACGGGCCAAAAGGAGAATCTACTGCACCATTATAGGAACCCAAGGTTCGAGATCATACGTCACGATGTTGTTGAGCCAATTTTGCTTGAGGTCGATCAAATCTACCACTTGGCTTGCCCTGCCTCCCCTGTACATTACAAGTACAACCCCATCAAGACAATTATATCCTTGTTCCTTCTAATTTAAATTTCATTTTTCATATTCAATTCATCAAAAGAAAGTGTTTGATTATGTGTTTCTGCAAGTCATTTTGTGAATGATCACACAAATAAGAAAAAAAAGAAAAAAAATATATAGAAGATGCATTTTGTGTTATGTCCCTTGGTTGGGTGTGCATAAATGAGTTCGATATGGATATTTACGAGTGTTGAAGTTAGAATTATCGGAAAAGTTCCTTGACTATTGATTTTGTGGAGATCACAAGACGAATGTGATGGGAACATTGAACATGTTGGGCTTAGCTAAGAGAATAGGTGCGCGTTTTTTGCTCACAAGCACGAGTGAAGTGTACGGTGATCCCTTAGAGCATCCACAATCTGAGACTTATTGGGGCAATGTAAATCCAATTGGTAAGTCGTCTTTGTATTTTTAACTATAATCACACTATTAGTGGAGTGTTGCAAAATTCAGCTTCACATTTTACACGAAATTAGAAAATGTGTAAATTATTTGTTACGACATATTTGTTAGTAAAGCCAAACCAGAAGCAGAACACAAAATTAATAGACTTGAGACTATATGTGTTACACCTTGGAGCAACTTTATCTTCTAAAAAGCTTAAAGCTATTTATTTAGTTAGCCAAAAACTAACAATACATTTATAAGTAATTGAAAACATCCCCTTAAATTAATTTTACGTCTGATTAGGTGTTCGGAGTTGTTATGATGAGGGAAAGCGAACGGCTGAGACCTTGACCATGGATTACCACAGAGGACTTAACCTTGAGGTTATATCTTGGATCTTGTATTGGTACTTCAAAATATGTAACTGGTTGCATAACTTATTTATGTGATTATTTATTTTTTCTAGGTACGGATTGCGAGAATATTCAACACCTATGGACCGAGGATGTGCATTGATGACGGGCGTGTTGTCAGCAATTTTGTTGCTCAGGTCAAAGATTTCTGTTCAATATATAATAGCCCAAGCTGTTATTTCTGGTAGAAGATATGACTAAAATTTTTAACCAAATGCATAATTGCAGATTATAATTTCTATTTGGCAATAACATTCACATTTTTGCAGGCCTTAAGGAAAGAGCCATTGACTGTTTATGGTGATGGAAAGCAAACTAGGAGCTTCCAATACGTTTCTGATCTGGTACATATTTATTGCACAATGTCCTGATTTTACAAAGCAAAAGCATGTACAATTTGCTTGAGTGCATAAGCGGCTAACTCGAAATTGTTCTTGCAACTATATATGACAACAAAGGTTGAAGGTTTAATGCGATTAATGGAAGGTGACCATGTGGGCCCCTTCAATCTTGGGAACCCTGGAGAATTTACCATGCTTGAACTTGCCCAGGTACAATTTTACACTTATAAAAGGCTTAGGAAACAAAAAAACAGAAGCTTTAACTTTATACATATTTTAAGACCGTGTTTGGGAATATTGTTTTTGTCGGACGCAGGTAGTGCAAGACACGATAGATCCGAACGCAAATATAGAGTTCAGACCAAACACGGAAGACGACCCTCATAAGAGGAAACCAGACATTTCAAAGGCCAAGAAGCTTCTCGGGTGGCAGCCGACTGTTTCGTTGAGGGAAGGGCTCCCAAAGATGGTCACCGATTTTAGACAACGTATTTTTGGTGGCCAAAAGGATCAGACGGGTGCATCCAGTGAATAAAGTTTTACTATCATATAATATGTTCTTTTTTTAAAAATGAATTATAAGCAGAAGAACCAATAATAAGTAAATTATATGATCCTATGTAGCTAGATTTTGTTAGTAAAAAACTTAAAAGGATANAAGTAAACAATGTTTTTACCAATAGTTAATTTAATACCTATAGATTATTAGGGCATAAATGGAGTGCTTAGTGACATTCAACGAGTTGGTGTAAGAATGAAACGTTTGATATATATATTTTTGTTATGATACCAGTTTGTGTTTGGTATAATTTAATGGAACATTTTTATATTCATGAATCATAATAAATCAAAATTGGTATAGTGTATTGTATCAAGCATAAACTATACTTTGATAAATTAATTTGTTCTATCTTGATGTGACTGTTCACTTCCGAAATAAATAAAGTGTTAACACGGATTTAGAATGTGTGTTAGGTAGAGAGATTAGAGTTGAAAATAATTGCGTGTTTGAATAAATTATGAGAAAATTGGAATTTTTTTCCGTAATGCACTTTGAGAAAATTATTTTTTCGTGTTTAAGATATAATGTTCGTCATTTAATTCGATTACTGATAATCAAAAATTATTTAATATCTTGCACCAAAGCTAGTACCACTCAAATCATTATTACGTCAGAACTTAATTCACCTATGGTGACCGTAAAGATTCTAATAGTACATCATACATGCCACACTACTACCCAAAACACGAAGACTATTAACCAAGCAGAATGGATCTCGCTTTTGGTGAATCAAAGTAATAGCTACTGCATGCACACGCATGTTTATATCTTACGGGTTAAGAGAACGCAGTAATTAATCGAGACCTAGTTCGTCTACGGCAATCAGTATAAAACGTCTCATCTCTGGGGTCTTGATCAATATATAAATGTACTAGTGCAACTAGTCAGTCAAGATCAATTGTACCGTTGACACTACAGCCGTTCCGATGGTTTGTTTATTTCCATCTAGATTGTGAACCAATCATTCTTGTTTCGAGTGACTAATAAAACGATTTTATATCCACCCATAATGAACCATTTTATCTAAGTGCAAAATAAAAAAAAAAGAACTTAATTGGTCAAACACAATTCTCATTCAACAGAAAAAGTGTAAATAACATCTAAAGGCAAGCTTTCAGTATATACACCAACAGTTCGTTGGTTTATCTCGATTTTGTTTGACACGTCAATCTAGAAAGTTTATCCAGTCTGTGTTGTTTGTGTGTGTGCGTGTGTGTGTGGCGATATGACTTTGGCACATTTTTGGATTGTACTATTTTACCCTTTGATGAATATCCTTGGAGCTTCGTCTTCGGGCTGGCTATAGAAATCAAGCAGGCCAAGAAGAAGGAGGGCGGTTTGTTGATTGTCGTACCACATGGAACCGCCCCGAGTACGGCAACCAGATGTCGATCTGAGAAAAGTCAGCAGGATTCGGTTCCTACGAAGTGAACCCAAGTTGAGTCTCAATGATCTGATCGCTCGTCGGCCCAGGTGGTTGGGGAAAGAAATTGTCATTCTACCCTCATCCCTGAGGGGGTGGAGGAAGCTGAGACCAAAGAGTAGATGGTTCTGTGCTACAGCAAAAGGAAGAATGTTGCGGCTTTTGATCCAATTACAAATGTCTCCAATCCCGATTAGGCAATGGAGAGGGACACGTTCGCCCAACTGGAGGAAGAAGAACAGACTCTTCCTTAGGATTCCTCTCTTAAATTCTAGAGATAGAGGAGATTTTTAAAGATCGGCGGCCAGAATAATACAGGGGTTTCATGACAGCCGAAGTCCTTGATTTGCCTAATCCCCTCCACTTGCCAGAATATACTATGAATGCAACTCGTGTGCCATTGATGGGATGGTCCCCGACCACAAAATCAATGGTGGTCAATGACATGAATGTGGTCGATAAGCTCCAGTGGTTAGCACGAATATAGGGGTGGCCCTAGTGTCGATGATGCATGGGGTCGAAGAATCTCAAACACTGGCTGCCGTTCTGAGGGAAATGAGAGTATAACAGGCGACTGATCTGGAAAAGATCAAGTGTTTACCAAATACATTAAAGGCTGCAAATCATCTTGAGGAGGCATACAAGAGATGGGGGAGGAGTTGGGCCAAATGTTGGTCGAGGTGAACAAACTGAAGGCAAACATAGCGGCGTAGAAGGTCGAGTGTAAAGGCCAGATATATGCGAAGGCAAAGGATCAAGCAAAGCTGTTGATGAGGCATATTGAAGTCCTCAGCCAGATAAATCGGCGCTTGTCCCAGGTCCATCTCGACCAGGAGAACGAAATGACTAAAGCGGCGAGGTTGGTCGTGGAGAAGGGTGAAGTATTTAACGATGACCAAAAGCCGGGCTGAGAGGAGTAATCGAAATCTACCGAGTTTGAGGAAATACTGGAGACCAAACATGAGACCATCATTGATTAGGTCATTCAAAAACTCAAATAGGGGAGCCAAACATGTAATTTATGGGTCCAAAACCATGGTTAATGTTTCCAAGCGACTAGTCAACGGGTTGGATCCGGCAAGTTCAGGAGCCAGTCCCACCCGGTGCTCATGTCTCTAGTCTTGACTCTTGTAGGGGAAATGAACCCTTAGGTTCATAAAAACTATTGCTTTTTGCATATATTAGTGAAATGAAATTTGTTATTCTTAATTTCGTAAATAGTTTCAAGTTAGATGAATTAACAAATTATATATATTTAACTTAAAACAGTTTGGTCATAATTTGAGGTTTCAATTATCATTTTGAGATTTTTTTTTATATTTGAGACTTTTTAATATTTTCAGATTTAAGAGGAATTCTGTGAAATCTTAAATTTGGAAGAGGGATTTGGAGTGAGATTTCGTATATTGTTTTTTTCTTTTAAAAAGCAAATCTTAAAAAGTATTAACAAATCCTAGTCTCAAATAAGTTAAATATCTCATGATTTTATAATATTTTTTAAAATATCAAATAAATACTTCTAGATTTTTAAAAGTTTTAAAAAGTCTAAATTAAATATACCAGTATTTCTAAAGTCCTATAAATTTTTAGAAATTCCAAACGAATAATGTTATTTATTGTATTTATTCACTTAATGGCTAAATTATTTATGAGATCGCTTATTGCATTCGTTGCTCAAAAGTGCGTTACTGGTTTCCACTATACTTATGGTTATGGTTACTTCTAAAAAGGCCCAAAAGAAATCGGGCCTTAATGACCCGGCCCAATTATCTCGGGCCAGAGGTACCCAATATTTTAGGGCGGTCTAAGCTGCATCACCAATTCAATAATAAATATAATAATAATACATTTTGCACGGAAATAAAAAACAAAATAAGGAAAGAAAAATCAGAAAACGAAAAGTACAACTCTTCTCCAGTCATCTGGGCTAACCCAAGTTCAGAATCAAAACCCTAGCTTCACTCGCCGCCGCGACACAGCTCCCGATCAACTTATCGGTGAGATTCCGATTTTCAACCTCCGATTTTCCCGTTGCCTTTTCTTTTGAAACTCGAAACTTGGATTTGCGTGTGTGTATGGATTTTGAAGCAGCTATGTCTGAAAAATAGTACATTAATCGTAAACGGACTTTTGCCTGCAAACTTTTCGATTGAAATATTATGGTTACATCGAAATTTGTTAGTCAATAGCTCTTTTACAATTTTACAAGAGAATGCTGTAATTGGGTTTGTGACTCAGCTTAATCCTTCGATTTGACTGATATTAGTTTTGGGGTTGCCTTTTCTTTTTGAATATTTTGAATTTGCGTATTATTGATGACTTAGTTTTTCTGGTCTTACTAATTTTATCTTTACATCCAAGTCGAGGTTTTGTCAGTAACATTAACTAACTTCTTTGCGTACAGTTAAGATGGAGACTTTATAGAAAATCCTTACCGGGCATTCATTTGCTATCTAGCGAGTATTTCTACTTTCTAGAATTTATTTGTGTTAAGATGGAGACTTTATATTATGAATTTCTCTGATTTGTTGTGTCTAATGCTAGTTCCTAGAAAGATGGGTTGCGTAGGATAGCTGGATTATCATTATGTCCTTTTACTTTACTACTTAGTAATCTTCAACTTGATGTATCATTATGATTGCATGTCAAATTGTTTAGGAAGGATTGGTGTTGTATGACTCACATCACGGATTAATGCAGATATTTATTAACTTTACCATGATTGACTAGGTACATTACGCTATCTTAATTTTGTAAGAACATGATAAAGCTTTTAAAAAACTTGTATATTTCTAAGTAGGCAGCTGTGCTTTTATATATATATATATAAAAGTATATATATATATATATATATATATATACACATATGTGGGTGTGTGTATGTATATATACATTATTTAGCTTGCTCTAATTTAGCCCTGGTAGAGCCGGTCTGGGCTTATAGAAACTTGTCCCTGCCTGATTTTGTGCCTTTGCCTGATAGGCCTGGGTCCCGGTAATTCATTTTCACAGTTTTCCGAGTGCATCTGAGTCTACCTTATGTTAATCTTTGCACAGTTTACTTGCATTTCAGCTGATAAATAGGATTTTTTTTTTCAGTTTTTCAACTGCATTTTGCAATTTGATATTGAGTGAGATCAACCTATCAACACCGAAGAAAATGTCTAAGAAAGGCTTGATGGAGCAGGACTTGAGCCAGCTGGATGTAGCAAAGCTACATCCACTTTCTCCTGAGGTTATTTCTCGCCAGGCTACGATTAACATTGGTAAACTAGCTTATCACTTTGAACTGCCTTGTCCACTGTCATTACTTGCTTTTATATTTATGTATTTTCTTTGTCCACATGTTAAATGTATACGGACCTGTGTTTTGAACTCAATGCTGATCCTTATTCTCCTTCAGGTACCATTGGTCATGTGGCTCATGGCAAATCAACAGTTGTGAAAGCCATATCTGGTGTCCAGGTATTAAATCATTCGGCTAATGATTTTCTTGTCTTACGTTTTTCTGCTCCTAAGTTTCTTGTTCTTATCCTGTTCAATATGAGTTGCATCTTCTTTTTTTTTGTGTATTGATGGGCACATATATTTATTTTATATTGGGTTTTGATGGCTTGTTGATTGATTGATTGATTGGGTTTTGATGGCTGGAAAAAAGATGAAGTGGGTGTACTATTAGTTCTTATGATCTGGATTGCTTTTACAGACTGTTCGTTTTAAGAATGAACTCGAACGGAACATTACAATTAAGCTTGGATATGCCAATGCGAAGATATACAAGTGCGAAGATGATCGGTGCCCTCGACCGATGTGCTACAAGTAAGATACAATACTCATGGTGTCGCTATTGATGTTCTTTGTACGTGCTTCTAATTTGATAATTCTATTTGTCCTAGGGCATATGGAAGTGGAAAAGAAGATAGCCCAATGTGTGATGTTCCTGGGTTTGAGAAGTGTAGGATGAAATTGCTTCGACATGTGTCCTTCGTTGATTGCCCGGTACAAAAACATTTTTTTTCCTTGAGTTTCTATTGGTTTGATTTTTCCTTAGCGTATTTTGTATGAGTTTCCACTCAAAATCTTCATCTATTTTCTTTATATCTATGTTTATGCATGCCTAAATTTTCTAATTGTCTATTTTCTGTCGTACAGGGCCATGATATCCTCATGGCTACTATGCTGAATGGGGCAGCAATTATGGATGGAGCTTTGCTCCTTATTGCTGCCAATGAAACTTGTCCTCAGCCTCAAACATTGGAACATTTGGCTGCTATTGAGATCATGCGTCTAAACCATATCATCATACTTCAAAATAAGGTTGACCTCGTTCAGGAAAATATTGCCATCAACCAGCACGAAGCCATTCAGAAGTTCATTCAGGTTGGTCTGTGCGTCATTTTATACCTTTATTGTTTTAATAGTATATTTCAAGATATTGCTTCTGATGATTAGCCTAATTCCAATGAATAAATAAATTAATCATGTGATCTTGCATATTTCCAAATACTCACTTGAAGTTTCTGGTCTACTGTTTACAAGTACAGACCTCAAGAATTTGCATAATTTAGTTGTGATGTAGAGTAATTTTCTTACTTTGTTTTTTTATTAATTAAAAAATAAGAATCAAGGGAAAGTTCATGGTGTAGCATCTTATAATTATATCCTTGTATTTTATGTGTTCAACTATCTAGTATTGTCTTCTTCAAAATTGTCCCACAGGGAACTGTCGCTGATGGTGCTCCAGTGGTACCTATTTCAGCACAACTCAAGTATAATATCGATGTCGTGGCCGAGTATATCGTGAAGAAAATCCCCATCCCAGAGAGGAACTTCATTTCACCACCAAATATGATTGTCATCAGGTCATTTGATGTCAATAAGCCTGGTTCTGAAGTTGATGAAATCAAAGGAGGTGTTGCTGGTGGAAGTATTCTCAAGGTTCGTCTATCTTTTATGTAACCTTCCATTATTTTCTCTGTTGGGCATACTTTCTCTACTGAAAAAAGTAAAAAATGCATTTTGCACGCCATATTGTTGCAGGGTGTGTTGAAGGTGAATCAGCGTATTGAGGTCCGTCCAGGTATAGTGGTTAAGGACGAGAATGATAACATCAGGTGCACCCCAATATACTCGAGAATAGTCTCCTTGTATGCCGAACAAAACGAGCTGCAATATGCTGTGCCGGGAGGCCTAATTGGAGTTGGGACCACAATGGACCCTACCCTCACGCGTGCAGATAGGCTGGTCGGACAAGTTCTTGGAGAAGTCGGTTCTCTCCCTCAAGTGTATGTTGTACTCGAGGTACAAATTATTGCTGCAAACTTGTACTTAGAAGAAGCTTGAAAAAAAGTACATGTATATTATGGTTATGTTTGGTAGACAAATAAGCTAGCTTATAGCTTATTTGTTAGCTTATAAGCTCCCTATTTTCAAATAAGCTCCGTTTGGTAGGACAAACTTTTTTAAAAAGCTCGAGCTTATTTGATAAGCTTTTTTGGGTAGCTTTTCAAATAAGCTTGTTGAAAATTTTATTTCAGCTAGCTTATCAGCTAATTTTACCAAGCACTTCTATCATATAGCTAGTTTTTCAGCTATAAGTCATAAGCTAGCTTTTCAGCTATAAGTCATAAGTTATAAACTCAAAAATTACTGAAAAGCTATAAGCTAACTTTTCAGCTATCAGCTAGCTTATCAGTTAGTTTTACCAAACATAGCCTATAATTTGTTTGTGATATATCTAAAGCACCCATTACATACATGTAAATTGCAGGTGAACTTCTTTTTGCTGAGGAGGCTGCTGGGAGTGAGAGCAAAGGATGCAGAGAAGCAGGGGAAAGTGGCAAAGCTGGCAAAGGGGGAGATTCTAATGCTTAACATTGGATCAATGTCGACTGGGGCTCGTGTAGTGGGCCTCAAGAACGTGTTTGCTAAGCTGCAGTTGACTTCCCCAGTGTGCACTAGTGAAGGTGAGAAAGTTGCACTTAGCCGTAGGATTGATAGGCATTGGCGCCTTATTGGGTGGGGTGAGATTAGGGCTGGTGTTACACTTGACGTCCCACCTTGCCCCATCTAAATAAAGAAGACTATCCTTTTTCCATAGTAAGGCAACGGACGGGAAGTTTTTTTAGGTGAATTTTGAGATGTGGAAGGGGAGAGAATTATTGGGTACGATTTTTGTTCGGTGGAGAAGAAAACAACAAAAAGACTTGTTTTACTTGATTGAGGTATTCTGGGTACTCTGTATTTTTTTTCTTCTTTTTTCTGTTTTGGTGATTTTTGGTGGTTATTTGTTTGTTCTGTTGGGAGTTTATTACAATGTGTTATCTAGATTGATTTTCTTATGCATAATGGATCATGTTGAGTTTAGCTAAAGCTAAAAACCATCTGTGCTGTGTTGCAGTAAGATTCTTTTTTTAAAATTGACTAGTCATATTCTTCTCTTAATAAAATTGAATATATTGTCATACTCTAATTTTGTAATAGTGTGAATGTATAATTGTTATGCATAACAATTTTTTTTTAATAATGGATTTATTAACTAAAGAGTAATTGGTATTTCCAATGGTTTATTTCATGTTACAAATTTTGGGCCGGTCTATTGATTTTTTTGCTGGGGTTTTCTAACCAAAAAGTAATTGGTCTATCTAATGGTTTATTCCATTTCCATGACCATGTTCGAGTATATGTTAAACGAAAGTGTAAGTTTTCAATTTCGGTGGTTAATAATAACAACTAATGTTAATAATTTTAATATTGTTAATCATGTAATGGCAAGTTGCAAGGTTTGTAAGTCAACTTGACCAAACTGAGCATTTTCAATATTAAAATGCCCCTCCGAATTATGAATGAGAATATTTTTTCAAATGATATATCTTAAATATAATTTGACTTTACTCTTCTCAATATTTTTAATATAATTAAATAATATTAACTCATCATTACTGCACATTTTCAACAAATTTTACTATTCATTTATTCACATATTTTTAACTATCAATCATTAATTTATTATTTTCATATAACATCAATTTTAATCGTTATATTTTAACTCATGTCCTCTCATGGACTCAAAATCAAATCAAAATTTTTACTTAATTATTTTTTTCTATTCTTAACTCTCTTTATCCAATAAATCAAATCAAATCCAAATATACTTACTTTCGTGATATTGTGACCACTTAAATGTAGAATTGTGATACTGAAATTACCTTTTACTCGTACTTATTTTTCTATTTAATTAGATTTAGAAACTTTATAGGAGTAATAGAGAAATGTTAAAGTAAATATCTATACCAATATGAACTTTATATGTCATATATGTGCTAAAGTTTCTCAATTATCAACTTAGAGCATCTACAATGCATTGAGTTTAGTCTTGCCTATGTGGCATGTAAATAAATGAAAATCTTGGATGACATGGATAAAATTATATAAAATGAACAAAATCTACTCCAATTCAAAGAGACTAGGTCTCTACTTGGGTCTAAAATAGGCTTAAGGAGAGACCGAGTCTCTTTTTCTGGGTGCCACATCGACAGGACTCAGTCTACTTTTATTTGCATTGGAAAATATATTTTTGTAGATTGGATCTATTTTTTAGGTGTTGGATCTATTTTTTAGGTGGCATACAATTTTGGGATTGAACCCAAAGCATCGTGGATGCTCTTAGGATTTAGAACTTTATATTTATGGAAGAAAAATATCAATTAATTAGCTCCTCTTAATTCTTAAATCATACCGTAACAAGCTTATATTACCAAAATAACACACTTATAACAAAAGAGTAATTATTATGGACAATAAGATCTCTTTTTAATTACCAACTTAGGAGCTTTATATACATTTCATTGATGAAAATCGGCGGCAAGCAAAAGGTTGAAAGAAAAAAGAAAATAGCATTGATTTTAACTAAATAAGAACAATAAAATGACATTGAATAGAAGCTATACAATCACGCATCACAACATGAAAATTTAATGACAAACGGATGATTCTTATTCGGCATCTGTAAATGCTTTTTTTTTTTTTTTTGGTTGATGATGATTTTGAAAAACTCGGGATTGCATCACAATTATTTCTTCTTTTATTAAAAGCAAATATATATATATATAATTACTAGCTCAAAACATTTAATAAAACTTATTTAATTTTACCTATGTGGCAATTTAACAATTTTCCCTCCAAAAACCGTTACATTTTGATGTATTTAATCTTTCATTTAATCATTAAATAATTAATACTCATCACTTCAAAATTACAAAAATTATTTTAAATTTTTTATTAATGACAGTTGACCATATAATGTGTTGACCGTATAATGTGATTAGATGTTATTATTGTTGTTACATTTAATTTTTTTTAAAAAAATAAAAAATATATTTAAAATTCCTAAATAAATAATAAATAATTCACAAATAAAAGACGTACCAAAATATACATTACATCCAATCAGATAAACGCAATTTAAAAAAAAATATTCCAACTCTTTTAATTGTAAATTTGGTCTGCAAAAAAGTGAAAGAAAAATAATTAATCATTATATGCATACAGACTCACAATAATTTATTTATATCTGTGCATTTGCACAGGTCGAATACTAGTTTCATGTGAATGAAAATTTTATTCTGATTGTTACATACTTAATATAAACTTGAAGTAAACACCATTTTTTTTTACTGGTAGAAGAAGTTTGTCTGGTAACATGAGATAAATTTATTACACTAGGTATTTTATTAGGCTGAATTTTTTCTCTGATTTTTATCTACTTAATATAAACTTGAACTAAACAGTAATTTTGCTTTACCGACAGAGAGAGGGGATTGGGATGGATGCCTTAAATTTCACTATAAAGGAAATTTCACTTGTGATGGAAATCATGTTCTGGTTTATATTTATTTAATATTTACTCGAATTAAACATTAATTTTACTTTATTGGTAGGGAATATCTCCAGCAATGGTATTCATTCACTACAATGAACGACCAGAGAACTATCAATACATGAACTTTAAAATAACACATATATCTATAAACAAAACACACTGATAATTAAGAGCAATATTGATATTACAAGATTACAAAAAAATAATAAAGCCAAAAACAAATTATACATATATTTTTACATACGGTTAGACAGATAATTGATAAGAGAGATTTTTTATATCATACTTTAATTATTTAGAGGAATTATTACTCAAAAATAACTTTTATCATCAGTTGCCTTATTTACGGTGTCCATAAATCCTTTGTAAATCATTTTCTCTTACGAAACCGGAGCATGATGTTCACAAATGGACTCAACACTGACAAATTTTATCAGTCGGAGCATGTGCGAAAATTTAAATAATTTTGATGTCTCATGACAAGCAAGTACTGATGCTACTATAATAATGCTATTCCAAAAAAATCACCAAAATTAATTTTTCTCACCCCCACCCCACCAATATAAATGAACATTGTCCCATGGTAGAAATTCAATGTCATGGCCATATTTTCAATCTGTTTATTCCTTAGCAATGAATTTCAGTTAAAGATATGCTCAATCCTTAAATTTTGTCATGGCCACATTGGAATTATCAGATACAATATTTCCTGCAGACTTGACCGTTCATTGAATATGCAATTAATCCAATTTTTGCTATGTGAAGTTCATATTGTTAAATACGTGTTTTATTTTATCTTTTTACTAGTATTCGACATATACAAATAAAGTATTATAAGTTATTTATATACATATAATATGAAAGTTATAAGTTAGATAATTTTATTAACTTTTAAACATAGAGAGTACTAAAAGTTATATTTATGCATATAAATAATGGTATTATGTTTTAAAATTTGATAATTGGTTAAAATAAATAGTACGTAACTATTTGATTGCATATGAATCACTATATTGATTGTATAAAATGAAAAAATAATGTAATATTTGTATTTGGAGAGATCATGAAAAATTAATTTGCTGAAAAAAATTAAATCTATTATAACAATTGTTTATGCGATTTTTAAGGGATTTTACTGTGACATTAGAAAAAATTAATTTACTCAAAAAACAATCACTTAATCAGATAAAAAAAATATAATATTGATGTTAGAATGAATAACTTGAATAAAAATTTTTACAATATAATATTTTTTTGTTTATGAAATTTTCATATATCATTTAGTGTAAAATATAATTATTAATTCTAATAATAACTATTATATGATAGAATAGAAACTATAATTATTACTTAATTAATATAAAATATAACGGTTGTTGTCTTAATTAACATAATCAGTTTTTGAAAAGTTAGGTGCCACATAGGTATACTTTATGAGGTAATATTTATATTTATGCGGTTTTT